AAGGGGAACGGGCATGGGTGTGGGGCTAACTGAATTTCTCTTCAAAACAGCCAGTACAGACTTGATGGGCCAAATGGCCCACTTCAATGCTGTCCCATTCTATGATGATCATTTCTAAAATTCCAATGATTGGAACCCCGTCTTTGGAGCATTTGATTATCTCCGATAGGCTTTGTCACATCCTTGAGATTTGATCAATACTCACTTTATCCATTGTTTTTGCTGTGTTTCAGTTACACATGCCTCCTCACTGATCAGTCTTTCTTTCGTATCTCATTCAACAATTGTTTTATTACCCTTGAGCCAGGCTTTCCCTTTTCTTAGTACAGAACCTCTTATTATTACTTTTCTATAATTCCTGGCTCTAAGCCTCATTATTTTTCAAGATTTATATGAGGTGTGTTCCCATGTTCAGTCATCCTTTGTAGTTATGGAGCTTCAAAAATAATGGCCAGTGTTATTTAATCAACATTTCTAGGCTGTAGTGTTCCATCCAGATTTTGATGGAGTTGGTAGAGAGAAACTTTCTGTTGACAGAAGGGTCAGTACTCAGAGGACTCTGATTTAAGATAATTGTCAAACAAAATCCAGGTGAAATCAGAGCAGGAATTATTTTGTCCAAGTCATTATCATCTGAAACACCACATCTGAAAAGTAGATGGAATTCAATGATAACTTTCAAGGATGAATTTGATGTATATTGAAAAGAGAAAATTGCAGTAGTGTGGAGAAGGTAACTAAATGGACAATTCTTTCAAAAAGCCAGCATAGACACAATGATGGGAAGGGTTTCCTCCCGCAATATTGATTCTGTAATTCTACATCCCATTGTGCTTAGTGCTTTAATGCTTTGAGATCTTCCAGAACATATTCCTCGCTGACCTCTACATATGTTATACATTCCTAACACAGTTTGAATGGTTTGGAATTGGTTTACAATATTCTATAAGTAAAGCTAAAATCTCATTTTGCATGTGTACTGATTTCTCCCATGATATTTCTACACACATTGGACCTTACAGAGCCTTGCTGTCCCATCTTTATCCTCTTGTTCAATCAACACACTTTTTTTTTGTTTTCACACTTGTAAAAACCATGTTCATGTTGCTCAATTGATTTTAAATCATTTCCAGTTCAAATTCCTTAAAAGATTCTTAGTCTTGCAGTTATTTTTGATCTCATTATTCAGCTATTCCGTCCTTAACTCAGTAATATGTTTCATTTATATGGGTCTTAAAGTCATTTTAAAGCATTGAACTTTGTTTTTATTTTGCAATACCTCTTAGAACTCTACATCTCCCCAAAATGTCCTTTATTCATTCACGAGATGAGGGTGTCGCTGGCCAGGCAGCATTTGTTGCCCATCCCTAATTGCCCAGAGGGCAGTTAAGAGTCAACCACATTGCTGTGGGTCTGGAGTCACATGTAGACTGACCAGGTGAGGCAGTTTCCTTCCCAAAGGACATTAGTGAACCAGATGGGATTTTCCAACAATCAACAATGGATTCAAGGTCATCATTAGACTTTTAATTCCAGATTTTTATTGAATGCAAATTCCACCATCTGCCGTGCTGGGATTTGAAGCCAGGACCCCAGAACATTACCTGGGTCCCTGGATTAACAGTCTAACCAAATTGCCACTAGGCCATTTTTTCCCTGTAATTTGCTTTAATATATATTGGCAATGGGTCATGGGCGATTCCTGAGCCACAGAACTGGATGTGAAGTTTTTTGCTGGCCGTCAGGTTTTCATGTAGATGTGGATGAACAAAAGTCTTGGTCAATGTCTCCACGTTCTGAAGTAGGATTCTAGAGAACATGGATCTTCAGTGAGGTGAGTGTTATTGGTCTATATCCTGAAGCTGTTTAGCCTAAAAACCCAAAGTCACCAATCACTACGAAGGTAAATGTGTAAGGTAAGAAGGTTGGCAGGTGGGTAGTGAAGGACATAGAGTGGTGGGTGAAGGTTGTTTGGCAAGTAAGTGGGTGAAGGAGTACAGGTGGGGCAAGTAAGTGGGTCAGCTGCCCAAAGGAGTAGTGGGGGAGATTAAGTTGGTTGCTTGGGGGAGTTATGAGTAATTACTGGGACCTGTGCTAAGTCTGGGTTGGGGGAGGGGCTGAGGGGAAATCAGTTTTGTATTTAGCCAGGAGCTGGAGCATGTCTTAATTACTTAAACCTTCTGTCCTGGCTAACTATAAAACTGACCCCACCCCATCCATATTCTACACTTTCTCCTGGCGAACTATTAAGGTAAATGAGATAGAACACTTCAAAGTCTCTGAATCTAACTAATAATGGGAGCTTTTTCAGGTTCCAGATTATGGCTGATTTCTCCATCAGAAGTTAAAACTTCCTGGGCAATTACAATGTAGTCAACAGTTACATGGTTCCAACATGAATTTTTCAGGGTATGTCCAGTCTCCATCTTACTGAACACTAGAAGATCTGGGCAATGATTTCAATCAAAGGAAGAGAAGCTTTGAGGAAACAAATGAATGTACACACTGCTGAAGCATCGAGAGACTCACCGAGAAAAACAGCCTAGACAATGGGTAAATCAAACAAAAGAGGCACAGACAACATATCTGAACGTGAAACAGTGCATACTGGAATATCACTGCCTCTAAAGAGCAAAACAAACAGGTTAACAGTCAGAGTGCAGAAGATGGATCTTCATCCTGGATGTCAACCTGCCTCTGCTTGACATTGATATAAATAAACCCCTTTCCCTGTTGTAACAAATAGAGCAATGTAACTGAGTCCAAAATGATTAAAGTCAATGTTGAGAAGGAATTGTATACTTTCCAGGCTGCAGCTCTAACCTAGGCTGATGTGAGAGTGGAAGGTGACCTCAGGAATTTCACGGACAGTGTACTCTCCCCAGAGCTGGCAATGAAGTGCGCTAGAGAAGTGCAACGGTCACAGGGAGATCAGAGCGAATGGCACAACAGAGTAACATGTGCAGTTGGGGGAAGAGAGGACAACAACTGATGTGTTTCTGTAGTACCCTTAACCCAAGAAAACATTACAGGGCACTTCACAGAAGTACGCCAAGACAAAATGTGACAGAGAAATGAAACAAAAACATTCAACAAAGTGGTCACATGGAGATTTTTTGGAGAGTATTGACATATATTTTCATAAGCTTCCTACGTGAGTCATCTGCATTCAAAAACAACAAGATTCAACCTGCTGTGGAATGGAAATGCAGAGGAACATACATCTCCCCTTGATTTTAATTGCAGTTCTTTCCTGTTTCCAATGGCAAAGGAAATTAGAATTCCCTCTCATGTATTCTTCAGAATTTAGATAATGTAATAATTAGGAGCTCAAACATGAATTCAGCACCAGTCCTTCTGTCTCTCAGTATCATGCAGGCAGTTGGACATTGTTAGAACAGTCTTTAGATCAGTGAAGGAAGTGAAGGGGTAAATCTGTAATTCATTGATGTATATCTGGAAGACAGTGTAAAGAGTGGGAACAAAGAATGGGGCCCTGAGATACAGTAGTGGTGATTTGACTTTATTACAGTAGAAGTAATGTACTGACTTCAAGGCAACAGTTATTGAGTACTAAGTGCTTGATGGTTGCTTCTGAATGGCACCAGTGAACATTCCTCTGTGATAAGGTAAAAAGTGGGAATGTTAGCAGATTATTGCAGTGTTCAGTTCCACTGAAGCAGCCTGTACCTGTATGCAGTAAGACCTGAATAGCCTTCAGCACTGGACTGATAAATGGCAAGTAACAATCAAATCACAAAAGTGTCAAAGAACGACCATCTTCAGTAAAATAGAGTCTGACCATCTCCACTTGCGATTCAATGGCACTGCCATTATTGAATCTCCCTCAATAACATCCTGGGATTGCCATTAGCTAAAAATACAACTCAACCTACCACCTAAATACTGGTGCTACAAGAGCAGAGGTTGGTTTATTCTGTGGTGAGTAACTTGCCTCCTCACTTTTCCCACCACAATGTATAAGTTAAGAGTGTGAATAAATACTGTCCACTTGCCTCGATGAATGATATCCCAACTTCCCTCAACTAGCATGATACCATCCAGCTCACTTAATTGATATTCCATCTATTGCCACCTTAAATATTACTCCGTCCTCCACCATTTTACTGTGGCTTTAAGAGGCACTGCAGAAAATCACAGACACTTCTTTGACAGCGCTCCCCAGACCCACAATCTCAGCTACCTGGCACCATTTTAACCAAGTTCCCTTCGAAGTTCAGCACCATCATAACTTAGAAATAGATCGCCATTCATTCATTGTCACTGCATCAAAATCTCCATTAAGAATGGTGTGATTTAAGAAGGTGGCTAAATGTGATCCACTCTAGAGCAATTAGTGATGGGTAATAAATGCTGGCCTTGCTATTGATGATCCCTCTAAAATTATATTGTGCATGGCCATTGTTTTTCAAGCATGGTACCTAAAGTGTTAGCATTTCTCCGCATAGATCAAAGACTGTGTTGTGCATTCTAGCCTGCTGCACAGCATGCAACAGCTCTTGGCAGAAGTATTGATTACCAGTGACTGTGATTCAGTAAAAAAAAGTAGTTAATCTCAAATAGGCAGCCAAGAAAGTGGCAGGAGAGTTATACATAATCCTGAAGATAAAGTGACTGTGGATATGAATTGGGACTGGACATTGTAAATTCAAGCTACATTCTAAAACATTGCATGAAGAACAGGTTTTCAGATCAAGCATCATAATTTGTATTAACCCAGTTCTGGGTTGTGTTTCCATTTATTTTTCTATGTGTCTTAGTTTTACATAACTGCAGATGGTTTTCAACCATAACCAGAATGGCATGTAATTCAGCCAAGTCAGCCTTATCTTTAAACTTAATAAAAGGCATTAAGTAAAGCAATGCAAAACATTGCTATTTACTCTTATTATTAAATTAGTGCATATTAACCTGCCCTAGGCTTTTATTTAATATTTAATATTCTTATTAGTTTAAGACTACTATCCATATATTTGCAGGGAGCCATTGAATACACTGAGAGCCAGGACATTACAGGCAGAAGGTTCTGTTCAGAACACCCCCTCTCAGCAACGCACTGATCCAGACCAAGTAAATATCGATGAGTCTTCAGACCATTTGCATCTGAATCACAAGCAGACAAGTAAACCAATGGTGCGGCCAGGTCATTGGAGTCAGCTCCCACTGCATCAAACTGAGGAATCAACTCTGAGGAACGTGAAGGTGTCACAACTTTTCCAGACACCATTAGAAACCAAAGTTCAAACTGATAAACACAGCTCAACAGAACAAGTGTTAGGATTGCAAAAGAGACACCTATCCAGAGTTTCAAGGAGTCCTCCTGCTCAGGAATTTAATTGCCTTGGAGATTTCAGACAATACAAGTTGTGTAACTCTCAGGTATGGCCTGAAGTCACCACCTGGTATGGTGTCATATTGCTCAAATGTACGTGTCTTGCCGGTATAAAAGAGTATTGGTACGGATTAAATGTTATATTGGCGAGGGAATATGATGGAGGGGAAATGAAAGGGGCCTGATAGAGGGAAAACATGGATACGGTGGAGGGTATATCAGAGGTTGCCATTGAAGATAAATGCAGACCTGTGATGAAGGATAAATTAAAGTGTGTAATTCAATACAAAGGTGTGGAGCATTTCTCCCAGTTGTACTCCAAATAAACCAATTGTGTTCCTCTTAGGAGCTAAGCTGTTTGGAGAATTAAACGTTATTGAGTAAATTCCACAACCTCATATTCTTTATATTTTCACTGTTTTCAAATCTCCAAAGCAAATTTGTTTCAAGCACAGCATCTGCTTTAAGCAATACGTTAGGAAATTTTAAGCCTCTCTGCTCCTATGATGCTGCTTGGCCTGCTGTGTTCATCCAGCCCTGCACCTTGTTGTCTCGGATTCTCCAGCATCTGCAGTTCCTACTATCTCTGAGCAAATTTTACTTCTTTGTTTAGTATTTATTCCTACCTAATCTTCATTGTTGCATGATCTATGTAATTTCTCCCAACATACCAATCTGTTTTTCTTTGGTTTATAGAGATTTAATGTAGTCGTGCCTCTGAAATTATTCACCACCCCCAATTATTAATTTATTCAGCTAATTGATGCATCTAATCCATTAATGACATCTATCTAGCATCTGAGGTTATGGTGAGATATTCTATCATCAGTCCACCTCTTAAATACCTTATTCTGATTATTCAGATGAAACTAGATAGCACTGGTCAGAGAGTTCACTGATTCACTTGTAAATTTCAATCAAACCTCAATTTGTACAGCTTTGAATGTAGCCCAGGATAATTTGGAAATTCTGAACGAAATAAATCACACCCTTAGGATGTCCCAAAACAATTCATATCAAATCACTAGCTAGTGAATTGTGAGCTGAGCAGAGAATTTATGAACAGTAAGGGCCTACATCGAGTAAATTCAATCATCTTTTGGTGATTCTGCAAAACAATCATTTCCTGAAACTGCAATTAGTGCCACTGGATAGAAACTTGATTTAGTGTCTCATTCACAAGATGACAGTGCAACCGTCTCTCAATCCTGCACTGTAGCATCAGCTTGGATATGAACTTGAGTCCTGGAGTGAACCCACCATTTGCTGACTCAAAGGCAATAGCATTAAAATTGTGGTCAAGTGCTATTTAAGTGCTGAATGAAGGATAAAGAGGAATGACTGTGAAACAGCGCTCATTTATAGTCATAGAATCATACAGCATGAAAACAGACCCTTCGGTCCAACCAGTCCATGTCGACCATAATCCCAAACTAAACAACTCCCACCTGCCTGCACTTGGCCCATATCCCTCCAAACATTTCTTTTTCATGTACTAACTTAAATGTGTTTTAAACATTGTAACTACTTGCGTCCACCACTTCCTCTGGAAGTTCATTCCACACACAAACCACCCTCTGTGTAAAAAAAAATGCCCCTCATGTCTTTTTAAATCTTTCTCCTCTCACCTTAAAAATATGACCCTAATCTTGAAATCCCCTACCCTATGGAAAAGATACCTGCCATTCACCTTATCTATACTCCTCATGATTTCATAAACCTCTATAAGGTCACCTCTCAACCTCCTACATTCCCGTGAAAATGTCCCAGCCTATCCAGCCTCTTCTTATAACTCAAACCTTCCATTTCCAATAACATCCTGGTAAATTTGCACACACCATCAGTTGTAGGTTGTACATCTTATTGGAAAATAATTTCTTTCCTTGTGAGTCTGAAATGTATCTCACAGCCTGGCTTAAAATGGAAAATCACATAAGATCATAGTGAGGTCTTTTGAAGTTGATCATGAGACTTTGGAGCATTTACTGTAATTAGTATTTTTAATTCCCATTCATACATTCAGGAGGAACTATAGATCATAGAATCCCTACAGTGTGGAAACAGGCCCTTAGGCCTAACAAGTCCACACTGCCCCTCTGAGCATCCCACCCAGACCGATCCGTCATAACCCACCTAATCTACACATCCCTGGACACTATGGACAATTTAGCATGGCCAATCCACCTAGCCTGCACATCTTTGGACTTGTGGGAGGAAACCCCCGCAGACACAGGTAGAATGTGCAAACTCCACACAGACAGTCACCCAAGGGTGGAATCAAACCCAGGTCCCTGGCACTGTGAGGCAGCAGCGCTAACCACAGAGCCACCGAAGAAATATCAATGGCTGAAGAAATGTAATGAAGTGTTGATTCTCTTCATTCAACCAAGCATTGTTAATAGAAATATCACCAAATAACTAAAGGTTTTGACCATAAATCACAACCTATTTCTTTGCCAGCTAGCTGTAACTTCAGAAATAGATCAACAGATCCCGTTTATACACTTTATATGAAGGCATGTTGACCAATCAGGAAAATCCAATTGTTATTTCCCTCTAGCATTGAGCCATGATGTCTGCATTCCTGTGATCTTAATATTCTTTCCTTCATCATTTTCTTTGCCTCTCCTTAAGTTTGTAATTAGTTCATTGCATTGTACAATGGCTACGGCACAGAACAAGGCAAATCGTCCTGGTTCCCTGAAGATCAATGCAGCTAGTCCCACTCCCCTATCCCTCCCTCTTTAACCCCACAAAGTTTCATCTTTTGATGATTAGCCAATTCCCTTTTGAAAGCCACAATTCAGTTTGCCTCCACCATAGTCTCAGGCAGTACATTCCAGATCCTAACCACTTGTTTTGTTAAAAAATGGGGTTACCTCATATTACCATTAGTTGTTTTCCTATTCACCTTTACATTGGTGTCCTTTGTTTCGCTTCCACCAATGAGAGCATTTTCCTCCTTCCACCCCATCATGATTCTGAACAGGTCCATTAAATCTGCTTTCGAACTTCTCTGTTCTGAGGAGAGTGACCCAAGTTCTGCAATTTATTCATATAACCGTCATTCGCATTCCGAGCTCTCAAAACCCTCAAACCCCATCTTCATCCCTGGTTTCAACCATGGTGTTAATTAGCTTCATGTTCCCAGCTTAATCAGCTTCATTGTACTGCCCTCTAGGAATTTGAATGCATACAGAAATGTGGTTATAATGTCTGTCATGACCAGTTCATTATTGGCCTCAGGTTACCTTAGAAATGGCTGCTTTCAAGTGGTACTTGAAGCCTGTGGTGCTCACAGAATCATAAGCCAGGATTAACTATCAATTTACTGTGAGGTATAAAGTGCTAGCTGGAAAATTATACAAAGGATCACAGGAAAGGAGAAAGCAGATTTCAATTTCTAATGACAGGAATATAAGCTGTGGTATATATTTTCTGTTCACTAGAGGAAATGTTTTGTAGAAAGGTAGCAGTGTGATGTATTCCAGATCGCCAGAATAGAAGTAGAAATTAATTGTTTGATAGTTATCAGCTTTTATTTACAGAGGCTCACATTACAAACAGGCACCTGCAAATTGAACAAAACCCACTGAGCACAGTTTCAGTCTGCTGCCTTTTCGAGAAGAACAAGTAAATGCCCAGTTAACGCCCTCAATCACAATACAATTAACACAATGTTTGGCTGAGTTGGGAGTCAACATTACAATGAACTTTAAAGCCATCGATATTCTGTAGCATAAGATAATGGTTCTGAAAGGTTTAATGTTGAAGACTGCATTAAGCTCCACCACAATCTGATAATGGCATACAGTGATGGATGGGGAACTCAAGAGAATAGCTGTGGATCTGGAAGGGAACAAATGTTCCATCTGTGTCTCCCAGTGGTATTAGGGTAAGAATGTACATCTGACTAATGTAACTTATACCGAATTGTTATCGTGCAATAGAGCACATCTTGTTAATACAAGGGCCTCTTACAGTTAGAACTCGCTAATAGTTGTTCCTCAATCATTGCAAACCAAATAGGCCCTTAACCCAGTCAAGGGAAGAAGAATAATGTCAGCACCTTTCAATCATATCATATATTACTGCATTCTGTTTACTCTCCACCGCTGCCTCCCCTCACCTCACGCTTGTCTCAAATTTTTAGAAACTCAGTTCCTTCTAGGCATATTTTTGTTCATTCAATAAAATGCTTAGTTTCTGTATGTAGGAATGTAATTTTTCTGGACTGAAATATGTCTTCTGGTATCTGGGATAGTGGACATTTGGGTGAGTAATGGATCTTTTTCCTCCTGAGGTGTTTCCATCAATGCATGGCAAATCTGAGTGACAGTAAATGGGAGGTAAAACTAGGCAAGCCTAGAAAATAGGTGGCTCTTCCAATCCTGTCATTTTCCAATTGGATGCGTTTTATTAAAATTATTCTGATAGCATCTGTTTCGAAAGCCCTAAAATCTCGTAAACATAAACAGAAGTTACAAATATTCAAAGATGATTCAACCCATTACATTTGTTCCAGTAATTACCCACAACTTTTCTCAAGGAGTGTTAGAGGTTTAACCAACAAGCAGTGAGGTAGGAAAGCAGACTGCTGATTAATGATATCCTTATTCTCTCCTTGAAGTCAAACTAGTACAAAGGGCAGAACTGAAAATGCACTTTTACATTTAATCAATGCTGTGAAAGTTTTGATAGCTCCCTGGTGTACTCACGTAACACCTAATTTTGCAGCCAGGTCAGCTCTGGCAAGATGTGAGCGAGTTAATTTGAAGTAGTCAATGTGATATCAATCTAATGTAATCTAATTTCCTGAATTGTGCACGCTCTTTTACACTGATTATTCCATCCTAAAATGTACGCTTTAAAGGCAAGCCTTGTTGGGAAATTTCAGGTAATAATTGCCTAAATTGGCCCCTTTGTTAAAGTGTGACTACCAATTTTAAACACTTCAGTGGCTGTAAAGCATGTGGAACGTCTTGAGGTTATGAAAAGTGCTTTATAAATGCCAGTGTTTCTTTTCCTTCTAGAAGTCTTTTTTTTTTCCTTTCTTTCCTTTTGAATTTTGACTGTGGCAACCAAAGTTGTCAAAATGACTGTCATATTTAGTATTTGTCCAGGCGTGGGTTTGTTTGGAGACAAAGATAAGGTTAAATGATATCTCTGCAGTTACTTTCTTGAAATTTACTCTTCCACTGCCATTCCTTTAGCATCATAACATGTTTGTGAAAATCCTATATTTATTTTGTTTGAAAAAAGGCCTGGGTGACACAGATGGCACAACCTGCTGGGTGGCATTTTGATTCAGTGGTTAGCACCGCTGCCTCACAGGTTTGGGGACCCAGGTTTGATTGCAACCTCTGGTGACTGTCTGTGTGGAGTTTGCACATTCTCCCCGTGTCTGCGTGGGTTTCCTCCGGGTGCTCCGGTTTCCTCCCACAGTCCAAAGATGTGCAGGTTAGGTGGATTGGCTATGCTAAATTGCCCGTAGTGTTCAGGGATGTGCAGGCCAGGTGGGCTAGCCTTGGGAAATGCAGGATTGCAAAGATAAGGGGGGGCTGGGTTTGGGTGGGATGCTTTTTGGAGGGTTGGTGCAGATTTGATGGGCCAAATGGCCTCTTTCTTCGCTTTAGGGATTCTATGATTCTTTTGACTCGTCATTGACAGTTTGCCTGCATTTGTCATTTGCTACAGAGCCATGTTTACAAATTCAGTGGCTGCTCTGGGGCAATCTGAAGAGCATTGACTTTGCAGACTATCGGCAATATAGTGATGCAATATCATGTTTTGCACCCTGACTTGAGAATGCCCTAACCATTGGAGCTGCAGTCATGATACTGCTGTCCTCAACTTCTAAACAACTGGGTTCTTGCAGGTTACTGCAGATGACAATCTTTGTCACTGATGTGTTCAGTCAAGCAAATAACATCTCCTCAGAGAAAGGCTACAGAAGAAAGGAGGATGCTGCTAAAGAACAAATGGCTTGATCATATAGGTGTTTTAAAAAAAAGCATAGGTCTATTTTTTAAGAGGGGGGAGTTCTTTAAATGTCCTGGGCAATATTTCTCTCTCAACCAATGTCGTTATTAACAAGAATTGCTGATTATTTGTATAATTGCTATTTGTGGTAGTAATGATACGTTGCTGCTTGCAAATTTTCTGCAACATTTGTCTACATAGGAACAGTGACTGCACTTCAAAAGGAATTCATTAACCCTGGGGTGCTTTGGGCTGTCCTGGGGTTTGAACAATATACAGCACAAGTGCAAGTTGATTCAAAAAACATTGGTCCGTGACGTTGTTCTGATTTGCTTAACTGGCAGTGAAATACTGTACATTGTTAAAAAATGATTGTATAACAAGATGATGTTTGTTATAACATAAAATATAATTAGATCTGTAAATTCTAAAAATCTGGTTTTACAACAGTGCAGTATTGTTTGCACCATAACAGTTGTGGTTTATTCAGTAACCTCGCACAGAGCCCTACTCACTAAAGTGTGACTCAGGGAACTGGTGCTACAGCTCTACTGCTAACCTCATCCACAAAGTAGCCTGCTAAGAGTGTGGGCCAATTTGCCCAAATTAGCAGTTGTTCAAGTGGAATAATACGCTTGTTTGCAAGGTAAAAGGCTATTCCTTTAACCAAACAGTCTTCACTGCCCTCCTAGCTTTTTTAATTGAGACCAGAACAAAATAAGCCTGGTGGTCCTTGCTAAAAATAGATTTTACATTTCATTACTTAATGCAGAAGAGTATGTTTGGTGATATTGTAACCAATCTTTTGTTTTCCCCATTTGTGCTGTCTAATGGTACTCACTTAAATTATTTTGAGTATACCTTCAAAAATGTCAAATCATATTTTGTACAAGAATGATGTGTCTAATAGCATGTACTATATGCAAGGTCTATAAACTTTAACTCTGAATTTTAGTGTCTTGTCTGTGACAGCCCTGCCCCCGTGGGAGTCGAGACTTTCGGGAAGTTCAATGTGCTGCTTATAATAACAGAGCTTTTACAGGAAAGCATTATGAATGGGAGCCTTTTACTGATGGTGAGTATATCTCCAGTTACTACTATAAGAACAAAAAAATTACCTGTCAGTCGATAAAATGTAACTAATTCTTTACTAGAACTCGATCAACATCTGCATATATTGCATGCAAAATCCCAGTTTTTGTTCTGCCTTTCTGATGCCATGATTATTGAGCAATGCTTTAAAAGTACTTTTCCATTAACCTGTTCCGATGTGCTATTGTATACCTCCTTGGCATGTAGGATGTGAACCAAGATCTTCTGGCCTAGAGGCGGGAATACTAACACTGCACCACAATACATTTAAGCTAATATTGCTTCCAATATTTGTAGTAGGAATTCCCTATTCACCTTTCTTAACAAAGAGCCATCATGATTCAGGCTTCCATCCCGTAGATAGTGCTGTGCACGTCTCCCAGCAACTAGGTTTTAGTATTAGTACCTACTACTTCCTCTGTCTTGCCATAGCTTTGTAGAGTTGTCTACTTTTGGGAACATCTATTGCATTTTTAATATATTGTTATACCTTTGATCCCTGTGAAGGAACCATGATTCAAAGTATTCAAATTTATTAAATGAGCCCCAAATGGAGAAATTACCAATAAGAGTCCATTTTTTGTAGTTTTAACTTTGACAGGAATCTGAATCAATGTAAATTACACATAAATTACATGCAAATAATGCTTCAACTGAAAAGGTCAATTTTACTTGAAATAATCAGTATGATAATGATGCATGTTTCACAACCACAAGCATGTGGCAACATTTAACTACATAGTGCTTATGCTGGCTAGGTTGTGAATCCTTTCTGACAACTAATTTCATGTTCAACTTTCTCAGCAGCAAAGCACAGTTCCATTAGCCTTTTTTATCCTGTCAGTCCTGATGATGTTGCTTTCCAGATTTCCTTTTCAAGTGAACAACCAATAAAACCCTGGTTTATAGCATGGCCACTTTTGGGAAAAACTCCCAACTCTTTACCATCATCAAACCATTCACATAGCTTTCCACGTTTTGGACATTTATAGCCAGCTCATGCATTCCTCCAAGAGTTCCTGTTGCCTTTTCTGCCAAATATAAAAAATACTGACCTCTTTCTGAGAGTGATTTGCTTCTTCACACAAAAGCCTCCTGCTTCCGTCACTCTCTGCTTTCACTTTGTGTCTGCATCTGGGCCTCCATTCTCCAGCTCCTCTGCTTGTAGCTCTCCTTTATGGCTGCACATGTGTCCATATTTTAACTTTCTTTGCCATGTCACGTAAACCAATAGTTCTTATTATACAAGAAAATCACAATTAAGTCCTTCACAATTGATGGATACTGTTTGAAGTTATTTTCAAACATTCTTAAAATCAATTACAGATATTTTAAAGGAATTTTGTTTTCTCTTTCTGTGCTGTTTCCAGATCAAAGTTTATCATAGAGCCCTGTGTTCCTTCCTTAAACCACAAAGGCAATCTTTTTATAGAACCCCTACAGTGTGAAAACAGGCCATTTGGCCTAACAATTCCACACCACCCCTCCCAAGAGCATCCCACTCTGACTGATTCCTCTACGCCTGCATTTCCCCATGTCTAACCCAAACATCCCTGGACATGATAGGCAATTTAACATGGCCAATCTACCTAGCCTGCACATCTTTGGACTTTGGGAGGAAACCGGAGCACCCAGAGGATCCCACGCAGACAAGGGGAGAATGTGCAGACTCCACACAGACAGTCACCCGAGGGTGGAATCAAACCTGGGTCCTTGGCACTGCGAGGCAGCAGGGCTAACCACTGAGCCACCGTGCTGCCATTTACTATTCTAGAATTGTGTTTATCTGTGTGTACGTGCATTTAGTTCTTCACATAGTGAATTACTTAGCTAACCTCTATGTTCCGGTTAAAAACAGGTCAGACCATTCCTACATAGTGATAGAGAATACAGCACATGACGGGTAGAGTTATTATCGGTGTCATTGAAGTCCACCTGGCTGTCAGTCAGACAGTATTGTGAGTGGAGATACAGGAGGAACTCAACCCACCTCACTGGACTGGAGATAGACTCAACTAAACAGCAAGAATTTATGTTAGATGTTTTCTATTCACACAGTAGTTCTTTAACATAAAAGCAGTTGAAAATATTGAAAAGAAAATGTCAATTTTAACAATGTGAAGAAAAGTAGTTGACTCTAAGGATTACTTCCGACATGGTCCAGAGGAAACAGACTCAACAAGTTTGTGGTTCACCAGATTTTGCACGTGCCCTGCCTTGCTGTCAGTTCAGTCCAAGAAGCATATGCTGTTAGCTTATCCACGGTTTGTCAGGCTAAAAAACTTCAGGTTATAGAACAAAAAAACACTCACCTCACGGAAGATCTATGTTGTCTAGAAGCCTACCTCAGAACATGGAGATATTGACTTTTATGCAAGCCATCTACCTGAAAACCCGACAGCCAGCAAAGAACTTCACGTCCAGTTCTGTGGCCCAGGAATCATTGACCCATTGCCAATATATATTAGAGCAAATTATGGAGAGGCAATGGCCTGGTGGGATTATTGCTGGACTATTAATCCAGGGAGCCAGGTAATGTTCTGGGAACTCAGGTTTGAATCTTGCCATGGCAGGAAAAAAAAATTGAAACCGGAGAAAAAAATCCAAAACTACTGAGAGTTGTATGTTCTTTGTCCTGTAAGGCAGAATACCATTTCACATTGACCTACCAACACCATCTTGATAACCAAGGTTGGAGGCAAGAGTGAATCATATATGGATGCTGGTGGGTACCACTTGGGGAAGTAAATCCGACTCACTCACGCTGGTCTACACAACAACAGTAATCTCCTGCTCAACCTGGCACAGGATCCACCGAGATAGTCACTTTAAGAGAGACAGGAGGACTGTATTAACAATGCTGAGTCCAACACAGCTTTAGTGGTTTCCTGTGCTATCACAAAGTGAGCATTCTGATAAAAGAACCATCTACTTCAAAGAACATGCACGCTGACACCTCATGAAGAAGTCCCAGTAACACCGACCTCAAGAAAAAAACCTTGCATCTATTTAAAATCCCTTATCCCTAACTGAAAAATACTCTACACTCCTCAAGCTGACAACACATTTCAGAGGTGCGCCTGACGCCCCCACTGTCTCCTGTTTCATTACAAAACATCGTTAGCCCAGCTTGGTAATCAGCAAACTCCCAGGCTTCAATCTTCCATGAAGAAATCCGAACAGCCCTCTAATGCTTGGGAGGCCGAGGAAGATGTGGAATATGAGGAAGAACCCAAACTGTGAATGCCTCTGTACAGGTCAGACCATCACCAACATACTAAACTCCTGGACAACAAGGTGCAGGGCTGGATGAACACAGCAGGCCAAGCAGCATCATAGGAGCAGAGAGGCTGACGTTTCGGGCCTAGACCCTTCATCAGAAAAGGGGGAGGGGAAGGGGGTTTTGAAATAAATGCTTTGAGAGGTCCAATTTCTGATGTCATCTGGTAACATTCACACTGCATCAGCTGAAGACATTGAATGGATTATTAACTGTAAAATTGAACCATAACTTTCTCCAGCGAATGGTGTATTGGTCAAGAATCAGAACACTCTGGTTGAGTGGACTAGATTTTATGCATCTCGGCTGGTGGGTTCACAGATAGGATAGTACATAAAATCCAGCAGGAAGATGATCCCTGTCTGGAATTTTGTTGGGCAGGGCTGAGGGTTGGGGTTAAGTGGCCCACCCAGTTAATTAATGGCTGGTTAGGGGTCCCATGGCAGTGTGTCTTATGAATAGTGTGCAAATTATAGCTTTGCTGTGTTAGGTGTAGGTCAGTTGGTAGCACATTAAACTCTGTGTTATAAGGTACTTGGTTCAAATCCTGTCTGGGACTTGAGTGTAAAGTTGAAACTGATGTTCCAGTGTAACACTGAGCCAATAAATACTTGACTAAAATGGAAATAACTAACTTTAAAAAAGAAAACTTTAGTAAACGGGAAAAAAGAATTGCAGCATGAGAAACATTCAACTCTAATTCTTTCTAAAGTTAGTTTCCCTGTGTTTCAGACCTGCTGAAGGAGTACAGCACTGCTGGTACATGTTTTGAATGAAATGTTAAATTGAGAACCTATCTGTCCCATCAGTGGATGCAAAATTTCCCATGGTATTACAAAGAAGAGCCAGGCAGTTATTCCTAGTATCCTGGCCAATATTTATCTAGCAAGCAACATAACAAAATCGAATGATCTGATCATTATCACGTAGCCATTTTGTAGGAAGCCCATTTTGTGTAAATTGGCATTTAATTGTGCTGTTTGATTACCAGAATTTATAATTGTACCATGTTGTCAATGCTTGATTGGTTAAAATAGGGTGATCACTTAGAGCTATAAAAACATGGATAAGCTGCTAGAAGCTAGAATAAGCACAAATCCAATTATTTTTGTGATTTCAGAGATACTTTGAAGCTTTTGTAAATAAACCTGCACTACACTTAGAAACTAGTTTCATCTCTGCATTCCTCTGAGATGCATAAAATATGAAATTGATTGTTACATTTCCTACGATATAATAATGAGTATACTTCAAAGTACTTTGATGGCTGAGAAGTGCTTTAAAACATCCAGCGATCATGAAAGGCACTATATAAATGCAAGTCTTTGGTTTCTCCTTAACCTTGCAGCTTTTGTTCTGATCTTTACCAGGACCAGACTTTTCAAGCTCACTGTTTTTAAAAATGTGTAAGATGTCCTGCTTGAATATTCCAATGCACCACTAATTCACCTCCTACTTTCTCCTCTCTCTGAACTTGAAGTCATCTGAAATTTAGCTATTGGTGTTGTAACCTGTGTCACTCTCATTCACTTGCAACCATCTATCCATAAAACCAATGAGCTCACATAGACCTTGCCACCAATTCTTGGATGAGTCCAACCACAGGCAAGTCACATACCTATCAGTTCTGCCTTCCATCCATAGAGCCACTATCAGTGGACCTTGATAATTAATGTTGAACGTTGCCACTTTATAATGGGCCT